TTAATTTCTAATCAATTGATAAAGAAATTTTTGTTCTATTAGAATTCTAATTATATGAGATTACTATTCTAATAAATTATAATTATATTATCTCAACTGATAAAATAATAAAATAATTAAATAATTAAATATCATAGTCAACACTCTTGGTCGTCAATTTCTTCATAGACCATACTCATATAAAAAATTCTAGTAGTACTCATCTTAAAAATCCTATCTTAAACTCTAATAAAATAAATTAAAAACTCATAAATTAAAATGAGTTAAAACTCTTCTCATTAGAATGATGTCTTTAATAATCAAAGAATGTGGTCGATTGTAGCTTGCATTATCTTGATCGGATTTGATCTCTTTTAATCAATAATTTTCAATGCACAAGTTGTATTGAAGATGGATTAAATTCCAGCCATGTTTGAGTAGAAAAAAGGCTCTTTTTCCTCGTGGGAATCGACCATGAGCAGAAAACATTATCCTTTTGAGCTTTCACTTGTCAACTATAGTTCGAACACCTTAATATGAATTTATGGACAGAAAGCTGATTAGGACTCTTAATTTTGGAGAGGAAAATCAACTTGGAAAGGGAAAAAAAGAGGCAGAAAATCTCTCTTGGGAGAGAATGTCCCTCTTGGGTGGAACTCTTTTCCATGCATACCTCTCGACCATGTGTCCCTAATTTGAAGGTCCTCTCCTAGCCAGCTTCTTCTTAACCAAATTGGCTATGTTTTCTCCCCTTATAGGCTTTCAAATGTGGTTCAAGCCTTTAGCCTTCATGTATCCACTCTTAAGTAAAAGTTTTGAAGGCTTTCTTCAGTTCTTTGGTTTCAAGCCCTTCATATGTTGTGTCTAGTCTTTCATATGGACTTTTTCCATGGTTAAAACATCTTGGCCTTGTTTTGAACAATCTATGAGGCCGTGATCTCCACTTATACAGTCCAACCCGCCTTGTTTTTTTATTAAACAATCCAAACTGTATCCCACAAAGCTTGGATGATCCTACCACAACACTCATTTTTTATGGTACTTAACTCGTGGCCTTTCATGCTCATGAGGCCTTACGATTCATCTTAGATTGTGTCTTACTCTTCCTTAAGGTGGTCATAAGTTTTTGGCATCAACTGGCCATGTTTTTCCTTGAACCCATAAGCTAGCAAGCTCATATGTATATGCGCTCGTGTGGTCGTGAGGCTTCAAGTGATCTTGAGTTTTTTTGTGACATAATATTGATTTGCCCCCTTTACTTGTATCACCCCCCACCTTCTTTAAAATAATTATTTCTCAAATCAGTTCCTTTTCATGTGGTGGTTTTTTTAACTTTGACTTCTACAATAGAGAAATAAGAACACTAGAAAAAAAAAATTAGGGTTAGACAGAGTCTCTTTTCTTTCTTCCACTAAGGGGTTGTCATCAACTTTATTCTCTCTCGTGGCATCAATTTCCATTTCTCCTGCAGCATCAATTTTCTTCTCTCCCACGACATCATTTTTCTCTTCTCTCGTGGCATTATTTTCCTCTTTTCCTGTAATATCAATCTTCTTTGTTCCTCTTGCATATTCCTACTGCGGTATTAATCTCTTATTTTTTCGCGACATTTTTCTCCTTTTCTCCCGTGACTTTATGTTCTTCCTTTCAATTATATTGTATTTCCTCCAAATAATCACATAAATGGTCCTTCTCCGCTAGGATTCGACTTTTGGCTCTTGATAAATTAGGAGTTTGTTGTTTTTATTTCCTTAAGATTACTTATGAGATCTTCCATCTTCCAATTAAGCTTTGCAACCTTTTTTAGGAAATCTTCTATTAAGAATCTTAGATCATCATATAAAGATATTGTGAAAACATGCAAGGAAAGGTTAGAAAATAACACTCCCTCGTGTTTCATTCACTCTCAATCTTTTTTCCTCAAGTTAAGTATCATAATTGATTTCGCTTGAACCAAGAGAATCAAGCTTCACTTTAGGAGACTTTAAGGAATCATAGGAAAGAAAATTGCAACACAAATCTAGAAGTAATGGAAGGTAAATACACATATGAATATGTTGTGTGTTTATGTATGATATTAAATAACTAAAATATAATTAGCTATTTAATGATGTAATAAAACAAAAATTTCAAAAAAACTTAGAATGTAAGAAAGACAATATGGATATGAATTTTTTTGTTTTTATTTTTATTATAGGATGAGTATGGATAAAAGAGTTGATGCAAGATATGTTAACTAGATGAAGGATAACAACTATGCAAATATATATATACATATATATGCAAGATATTAAGATCTATTTAAAGTTTAAGCTTTGATACCAAATGATACAGAATTCAAGATTAATCAATGTAATAAAAAACTGACATATATAATTTAGCCCAAAAACTTAACCCCTAAACTAAATCTCCTTCTACTTAACCTACAATCAACTTGTGATCGAAAACTAATATAATTAGAAAAAGTAATAAGAATTGATAAAATGCCACAAGAATTATCTTAATAAATTGAATTAATTTCTTACTCAACGAGAAGATTAAAGAGACCTCTCAAAGAGCATTCAAAAAACCAAAAGTGTGTGATATTTTATCAATTCTTATTATTTTTTTAATTATCTTAATCATCAAACATAGGTTGATTGTGGGTTAAATAGGAAGAATTTATTTAGGTTAATTTTTTGTACTAAATTATATATATGAGTTTTTTATCATATTGGTTGATCTTGTATTCCCAATCAGTAAGAATTGTGATCCTAACATTTGATCTTCTAATCATCATCATGCATTACTAATTCCAACGTCATGTGCAGCAACATGTATTTAAATAATATAGTTTGCCTTACCATGCATTACTAATTCCAACTCATTTTTTATATGTTTTTATTGTTTTTTTGCTGAATAGACTGCCTACAAAAGCAGTGAAAAGGAAGACTCCATTTGAAGCTTGGCATGATGTTAAACCTATTTGAAAATCTCAAAATTTTTGGATGTCTTTGTTTTTCTTATATTCCACATATTGAAGGAGACAAATTTGATGAGAAGGCTGAACCTGGGATATTTATTGACTACAGTTTGGTTTCCAACTCGTACAAAATTTTTTAACAAAATTTTTCAACCTCAATCAAAGAAGATTGTGATAAGTAGAGATGTTCAATTCTTTGAATATGAGCAATGAGACTGGAATGAAGAGTCTCAAGCCAAATATCAAATCTTGCAACTAGATCCAGATGAATTAGAAGATGAACAATGAACCTTGGCCTACAGGGTGTAGAGTTTACAGATTACAACAATTTGGAGCTCTCTAGTGAAGTTCCAATCCACTTATACAATGCAACGAGGTTTGACTGTTGAGCATCTCTATGCCGAACAAAACCTGCTGATGGAGAATTATTGGTACAATGAACTTGTTTCATGCTTTTTCACATCTTTGATTAAGACAGGATTGTTGGCTATTTCAGGCAAGCAATGCAAATGAGAGTATTTAACTGGTACTAGGATGTCAATTTCCTGGTCAAGTTGGAGTTCAATGTTGGAAAATGTATATTATGATAGATCAAATGAAATAATGCTTCTTTTTTCCTCCTCATTCTGGATATGCATTAGTTTGTAACAATCAGATGCAATCATGGAGCAAGTATTGGTATGAATGCACTAATCATAAGTATAAACTGAAAGCAATCATGTACTGGCTATTATCAATATAAACTGAAATATTGCTTCTTTGGCATCTTACCCTTCTAATTTTCTGCTGGGATCATAGGACTCAGGCTGACGGCGCTGGAAAGTGCAACTTAATCAGGGCCCTGGCAAAATAATTCTGATATTCAGATGCTACTTTGGGTTTATAAGCTCATGCATTCTTAAAAGGGTAGACTATTAGACATGATACTATTTTATTTGAGAAGAACTAAAGAAGGAATTTGAAGAAATTGCATAAAAGGAAGACTTGGAGAGAAATGATTTTAGATTTCCTTCATATTATTATTTGCATGCCCCTAATTACAAAATTCTCTCCTTCTATAACTAACCTTTCAATCAATATAGGCTAAAATATATGAATTTAAGCAATTAAAACTTATTATTTGCCATTTTCTACTTTCTGATTCTACCTTTTTTCTGCAATTACTCAAATATAGCAGAAAAATTACTTGCCTGTTGAAAAATAATACGAAGTGCTATTTATAGAATGCCTATGATACTGAAGATACAACTTATTAAGCTTTCTATTTCATCATAAGCAAGTGCCTAAAAGCTTGCGCTATATAGATTAACTTCTCCCAAGTTAGTACAAAAGCTTCTTTCCCTTTCATTAGAGAAACAGACAACTCACTTGACTTACAGTGGTTTAGACAAAATTTAGAAAAGAAATAGAGATGAAAGGAAAGAAAATAAAAAGAGTGGTTTTAAAGAGAAACAAAACAGAAAATGCTTCTCTTGTTAGGATGACTAAAAATTTAAAAAAGGAAAGGATATTGTGATATATTAAAGTAAAATAGAAAACCTTTCTTTAAACATGTCTAGTCCTTTGCTTCCCCCACATTTTCTCTCAAAGTTTGAGAAATTGAAAATTGAAGAAGGAAAGGAGTGAATGCTCACAATCTCTCCCTTTCACTTAGATGCTAGCAATTCCTTCCTATTTTAAATAATAAAGTGGTCTTGCATCTCGTTAAATTGTGACAACGTTATCTACGATGTGCACAGCTTTTACAAGAAGCAAGCAACCGATAAGATGAACGGGTTTATTCGAATAAAAATTTGAAACTACTTGATCAACATAAAAATATAAAATTTGTACATAGGCTTATTTGAAAAAAGGCTAATTGTAAAGACTTCCAAGGTACTTTATCCATCTTTTTTTCTTTTTCCATGTACCATCTCTATTCTTCTTTTAATCTCTTCTCTTATATAACTCTCTGCCTAAAAGATAAAAGATCTAACTTCCTATGTTTAATACTGATGAATAAAGGAAATCAACTTCCATTATATACAACTTGGGTTTCTGAAACAATATTTCTCACGGTATTATTACACAAAACAAACAGGGATTCACTATTCCCACAACTACACAAATCTAAAAAATTACAACAAATAGTATTCAACACCTGAAGAGAGATTTCCCATAATTAAGTATGAGAAACAGCATTAGAAACCCAATGAAATCTTGCAAGCAAGAAAAAGCCACTTGAGGAATGCAGACAAAGACAGAATGAACCACACAAGAAAAGAAACGGATTCCTGAGACTAATCTTGTTGACATAGGATGCCGACAGTCTTTTTCCACGATGACTGATTAGTAGGCATCTGCTAAGAGATTAATAAAAAATAATAAGTTAAAATGCAATATATATAGCTTGAGAATTCAAGAAAGAAAGTTATTATCCTTACAAAAAGGATAATCATAAAGACTAAATTTGAACTAATAATACATGAGAGAATATCATTGAGAATTTAATAAAACATATATCAACTTCATTCATCATATGCTAATTAAGCAATTTGTTGCAAGGAAGTGCTATTGGTCAATGGTCTTATATCTAAAAGCTTCATGTTCTCTCACCATACTTCTATTTTGCCATTTGATTAGTTTTGAAGGAATAAAAAAAAGAAAAGAAAAGCTAAACACGGTGGAAACAGAGAATGGCATACACATTTTAGAGAAACAGAACAGGAAATGATTGTGAGATAGAAGTAGAAAAGAATTAAAGCAACAGGAAGCACTCTTGGGGGTGCTGTTGAGGACTTCCTTGCTGACTAGCATTGTGGAGTGGTTGTTGACAAAATGAAGAACCAACAAAAAATAGCAGAACCAAGAGGAAAATAAGTTGAAAGTTCTATGAAAAACACGATGACATTGTAAATTACCATATACAAGGAGTGAAGATCGCCTTAGAGGGCCAAATTAAATATAAGGATAAGTTCTTGACTAATTCAGCGCATATGAAAATATAGATGCTTTAAGAGACAAAACAGCCACGGGTAGTCCACATTTTGGAGAATGACATGCGCAGGAAATTTACATTTTGCTGTACCCTCATTGATGTGTCATGCGCAAATGAACAAATGCAGTGAGTCCCTTGACATCATTTATTTACTTGAGAAGCAACAAAACGTCACATCAAACACTTCCATCTCCTGACAATTATCAGAAATAATCAATTTGTATACAACTGAACAATTCAATGAACAAAAATACTTGTAAAATGACCACACTAATTGCCTCATTTTAATGGGAAAGAAAAGAGAAAAGCAAGGCTGAGTTGAGAAGCAGATATATATAATGGTGGAGGCAACAAGGAAATTCTTGCATTTCAAAAAAAAAAAAAAAAGCAAATGGGTTTGGAGCAGCAAGGAGTGCATTTGGGATCATTCCAAGAAACCTAAGCAGCCAATATGATTGTTGACAAGACAAGGAAAATAGCACAACACTTGAAAGTATGCATGATCCTTGGAGACTTGAACCATAACAAGAATTATTATAAGAGTAAAGCAAAAGGAATTCCTGAAAAAAAATCAATCTAAGGAGAATCAGGCTGCAAAATAGTGGATGAAAGCTATTGTATAGAGATTCTCACCTGATGATTATCCATCCTCATCATTAGAACTCAGATACAATAGATGGCACGTGTTGGATGATGTAGAAATCCTCTCCTCCTTCAACTAGTTTATCTTTGAAGGCCTTTGGCATTCCCTCCATAGTTAATTGTTTCAGAGTTTTGATGAGCCTAATTGCACTGGGAAGCCTCTTCAATTTATAGCAATTATCAATCCGCAAATAT